CAGAACCCTGTGCTCCTTCCCTCCCAGGCTGTCCCAGAGGATCTGCTGGTCTTGACCAAGCTCAGGCTGTATTAACAGGAATAATAAGGGCAGCCAACAGCTCCCATTTCTAAAGCATCAATCATATTTCCTGAATTCTCTATTGTCTTCTCAAAAGCAGCCCTGAGAGAAAGGTTCTCTCATTAGCTCCAGCTGGCAGACAGGGATGCTGAGGTCCAGAGACCATCAGCAACCTGCCCCGGATCACCCAGTAGGAATGGCCTTTCAGCTCTGAGGTCTGGGAGTCTTTGCTCTTTCCCCCATCCCACCCTCCACTGGCTGCCTTACCCGAACGTTGTGGACCTGGTTGGGTCCAGCAGCCTCTGGCTCAGTCTTCCCAGGGATCCGATCTGTGGGAGGTCAGAGGCGGGAGGTTGGGGGTCGGGATCATTTTAGATTCTGCCCCATTTCGAGAGACTCCCAAATGCCCCAACCCTCTCCATCCAGCTTACCTGGATCCCTGAGGTTCCCCATGGCCACTTGGATGCTGCCCTCAGAGCTAGCACTTCCCATCCGGGGCCGGCGAGGACCCTGTTCTCTCACAGGAGTGGCAGTCAGAAAGGGGTGGCAGGCAGACAGAGGGACAGGCAGACATCTTTCCATTATCCTCCTTCCCACCCAGCCTCTGAACTGTCCTCCTCCCTTTCCCTCCTTCCCTCCCCTTGCCCATGTCCCCTCTCTCACCTCCTCCTCGCCTCCAAGCAGCACCAGCCTCCCATCGAGTAGGGTGAAGCCCCCAATGTCCCAGACAGGTACATCAGGTGTAGGGGCCTCAGGGATCTGTGTGGCAGGGGGCTCCGTCTCTGTCTCTGGCTCTAGGAAGAGGAGGAGGCTCTGGGAAACCTAAGAGCCCTTTTCTCAACAGCAATGTTCATTGGGGTTTCCCTCCTAAGTGTCCCCCACTCCCAGCAGCCATGTCAGGCTGTATGACCTTGGGCAAATCTTCAACTGTCTCTGGGCCCCAACCCCACTAACCATGGGTAATGGACACAGCCCACCTACTATGTACCCAATACTGTGTTTACCACTTCACATGCCTTCTCTCCTTCAATCCCCCAAAATCCATTCAAAGGGCTATTATAACTGAGGCCCAGAGTGCTTGAGTGACTTGTCAAGGGTCACACAGTTTGTGAGTGGTTGATCCTGGCTTCAGACACCAACGTTTTTCTCTTAACCAAGACAGTGGGTAGGTCCAAGAGATTATAAATCAGGACAGGAGGCTTGGTTCCTTACATAAATAGCTTATCTCAGGTGGAAAGTATTCAAAGTTTGAGAAAGAAACAGAGAAAGTTCATGGTAGGGGGAGGTCTCTTTCTTGGGGAAGGGGAAGTAGTGGTCAATGGGTCAGGGAAGGCCTCCCAGAGAGTCTGTGCTAACTTTTGCACAGCAGGTTGGATTCAGACAAGCAGAGATGAAAGAAAAGGTGGCCAGAGCAATTTGAGCAAAGGCTGGGAAGGGCAAGGCCCAGGTAAATAAAGAGAAAGGAAAGGAGGGCTGGAGGAATTGGAGGCTGGAGGGGAAGATCCAGGAAGAGATTGGTACAGGGCCTTGGGAGCCAGTTGCAGGAACTGGGTTTTATCTTGGGGGCTGAGGGGAGCCATGGGAAGTGTTTGAGCAGGTAAGGAGTAGGTCTGCTTGTTGGAGAGCTCTCTCTGGATCCTATGGAGTGAGCAATATCTGACACCCTGGAGGGGCTGGAGGGATGCCTCTGCAAAATGAGTTTATGAATGGTGAGAATTAAATGAGTTTCCAGGAAATAGGGCTGAATCAACCCTCCCAGATTACCTGTCTGTTACCTTGTTTTACCACTAGGGGCAATAAGTGATAACTCCCACTTAATGGATCACTTAAAATATGCTGGATCCTGGGCTAGTGCTACGCTCCTGAGCTCTAATCCTCATGATACTCATTGCCCTCTAGATCCCTCTGCATGACACTTAGCACCATCTGTTTTTTTCTTGTTGACTCGTTTGCTGTCTGTCACCCCCACTACACTGTGAGCTCCGCGGGGTGGGGAGTATCATTTCTCTTGTTCACTGCTGTGTCCTCAGTGCCTAAAATCAAGTCCTGGCACGCAGTAAATGCTCAACAAACCTCTGCTTGAATGAATGAATGAACATGAACAAACGAAATGATACACCCTTCAAGGTGGGAATCATTATTCTCATTTAACTGAAGGGGAAGCTGAAGCTCAAGGAAGTGAAGGCACTAAGACATGGAGGCTAGAAAAAAACCCAGGAGAGTGGGAGGCGGCTCAGATGGATGTTTAGGTAGAAGAGGATGATCCTGGACCACTGGACACGAGGAGAGACCCGGTGGAGTCAAGGACCATTTGGCATCTGGACAGTACCACTGTGGGTCTATTCTTTGCCCCTTCCTCAGGCTGTACCACCTGCCCACAGGTCCCTGGCAACTCCCCTCACCCCTCTTTAGGTGGAAAGAGGGAACTGGGTAGCCGGGCCCCAGGCACTTCCTGCTGGGCTTTTGCACTCCCCACAACTTCCTGTGTCTGTAAGGCTGATGCTTTGGTGGCAGACACGACCCAAGCATCCGGCCTCCCAGCTCGGCCCAAGCTTGGGGTGGGGGTGCCATGTACCTGGGGCCTGTGGCTCCAGATCCTGCTCCAGCGATGGGTTCTTCTGCCTCCCCCAGAGGGTCTTGGATAGCCGGAGGCGACTGGTCTTTGACTCCTTGGGGGGTGCAGAGAGGACTCGACGGAATAATGAGCGAGGGGCAGGCTGGCTGCTGACTATGGGCTCCTGGTGGCTCAGTGCCCTTCCCCAGCCGGCAAGGCGGCCCCAGCGGAACCCTCTGGTCCCCTTCTCCCCACTGGCCCCTGTGTGCCAGCGGTAGGAAGTCAGCAGAGAGGGGGCCGCGGGCTGAGTTTGGGAGTCTGGGCTCAGCGACGGTGGGTCCATAGCAGGGGTTCTCCTGGGGAATGAGAGGGTGACAGTTCTGCCCAGTGTCTGCCTACAAACTGCCCTCATCTCGGCCCCCTCCCCACTCTCAGCTCTGCCCCCAGGGAACCTCCTGGGGGCCACACACACTCCCTTTCTTACCTTGATTTCCTGACCAGCCCCTGAATCAGCAGCCGTCTGCACCCTGCCTGGCTTCCTCCTGCTGAACCCGACTCCACGTGACCCTGTCTGTCCCACCCCACCCCACAACCAAGCTGGGACGGCATACTGGGGACAGGATGCAGGGAGGGGTGTGGAGGAGAGGTGGCACAGCAGGGTTCTAGCGAGGACCCAGAATCCCTCACTGATCAGGAGGCAGCACATGCCCCTCCTCTGAGCCTCAATTGAATTCTCTGCAAAATGAGTTCATGCTGAACAAATGCTGGTGAGAATATGGAGCACCTGGAACTCTCATCCATTGCTGGCTGGAGTCTGGACAGATTTACCCATGTTGGAAAACCATTTGGCATGAGCTATTAAAACCATTAGCTGGGGCTCCTGTGACTCAGCAGTTCCACTGCTAGCTGGATACCCAATAAGATATGCTCACCGACATTGTTCATAATAGCTTCAAACTGTAAGCGACCCAAGTGTCCATTGATGGTTGAATAAATAAATTGCAGTCTCTTCACACAGTGGAATACCATACAGCGATGAGAATGAACAAACTATGGAATGATTGAGCTTGGAAGAATCACAAACAATGCTGAGGGAAAAAAAAACCCACTAAGAGTATACACTATGTGATTCCATTTATGTAAATGTTCCGTCCTTTTTTTTTTTTGGTGGTGCTGGCCAACACGGGGAGCCGAACCCTTGACCTTGGTGTTATAACACTGTGCTCTAACCAACTGAGATAACTGGTCAGCCTCCTTCTTCTCCTGTGCATTTATGTAAAGTTCCAAAGCAGGAAAACAATGTGTAACAAGCCAGGATATTGGTTTCCTTTGGAGAGGCTAGTCACTGGGGGGGGGGACCAACGGGGGGTTTCTGGGAGCTGGCCTTTTTTTTTTTTTTTTTATGAAGTGAAATTCACACAACACAAATTTAAAATGTTCTATTTCTTGAGCTGGGTGCTGGTTACATGGGTGTGTTCTGTTGTGAAGATTCATCGAGCTGTACATTTTGGTGCACTTTCCTGTATCTCTGTTATGCCTCAATAAATATTGACTTCAAAAAGGAGGTGGGTAAATGCTGTTCTGAGGAATAAGTGAGTTAGCATAACTCTGGCCCAGGAGCTGGACAGGAGTGGGTTCGGGTGCCAGCTGGCCCCTCTCTCACTGTGTAACCTCAAGCAAGTCACTTCCTTTCTCTGATCCCCGGTTTTCTTTTTTGTACAAAAAGGTAATATCAGTTTCAAAACGTTCATAATGTGAGCCTTTGTTTATTCAACGAATGTCCTCTGAGTGCCTACTATGTGCTAGGTGCTGGAGAACCCACAGGGAACTAAACAAACTTGGTTCCTGCCCTCCTGGAGCTCACAGTCCAGTGAGGAAGACAGATCGTGAATGCAAACATGAGATGTTCCTAGCTGGTGAGGAGGATGTGGAAGGAAATAGACTGGAGTCGAGGCTGAGCAGAAAGTTCTTTGAGCTGGAAAAATCAGAGAGGGCTTTCCTGGGGAGGGGACATTTTCAACCATTTGCATTAGTTGAGCAGCCCTCAACTAATGACTAATGAGAAATAGTGTATAAATACCCCAGCTCCCTCACCCCTTGGGTGGGATGACTGAGGTATGTATCCTACACATTCTCCCAGAGCTCCCCAGTAGGACTGAGCCTGGTTACCCAAGTGGAAACTTGCTTGATAACATATCTTTTTTGCTGTCTTCCCTTCTCTGCATGGTTTCCTCATTCCCCAGCTGACATGTCCTGGGATCACCTCCCAATAAACTATTTGTACAGGAATTCTTGTCACAGGGTCTGCTTCTGGGCACACCCAAACTACAACAACGTGTGCAAACACAGATGATGCATACACAGAGATTTTCTTTCCTTGGTTTCTTTATTGGAGGTCTGTGGCTGGCAGGATCATTGAGGATGGCTCCCCCCTGGATTTCCGAGAGGCTCTCCTTGCAGTTCTTGGCTACACAGTCTAGAAAAGACAAGGGAATATGAGGCTTGGGGGTTGGACATTGCTGGGTCTGCCTTCCTAGTGGTGGGACCCTGGATGGGGGAGGGGACAGCGGCCCAAAGTGAGGGAGTGGGTACAAAGCTGCCTGCAGGACAAGGTAGGCAGATCAATCGCTTAATTAAATGGACTGGCACTATGCAGTTAGCACGAGATTATCCAGGTGTGATTATAGAGGTATCTTAGTGATCGAGGTCAGGGGCTGGGATGAGATCATCAGGCAGAGGTTGTGCTAGCTGGGCCTAAATTGCTCCAGCATAAGGGTTGTCATCAGGGATTAGGGAATCAGGGGCTGAACAAACATCCTCAGGGCTCAGATTGTCTGGGCAGAGGATTGCAACACAGGATGGTTAGGGGCTGGACAGAGGTTGTGCAGGCAAAGGGTTTTTTGGCTAGGTTAGTGTGTGTGACAGAGGGCCTTTGGGTAGGGAGCAGGGACAATGCCGAGGTTGGTGGGGCTGGGCTGAGGTTGTGCAGGCATAGGTCAGGGGACAGGGGCAGAATGACTGAACGCCGGGCCTAGGTTGCCTTAATAAAAGGGCTGCAAGGAAGATGAAGGGCCTGGCTGGGGCTGTGCAGGAACAGGGGTTACAGACAGGAGTCAGTGACCCTCCGAGGTTGGGCGAGCAGGCAGGCAGGGGTCAGGGGCCGCGGGCCGTGGGAGTGTAGGCGGCTCAGACTCACCGCGGCGAAGTGCGGCCAGGTGCGCAGCAGGCCGAAGAGCGCGTCGCCGGGGCAGTCGGTGCGCACGAGCTGGCGGTGGCCGAGCAGCGCGTAGTCGGGCCGCAGGAGGCCGGCGCGCAGCGCGCAACTCGGGAGCAGGTCGCGCACCGTGCGCAGCGCGGCCTCGGTGGGAAGCGATGCCGTGTAGTTGCCCACGAAGGCCACGCCGAAGCCTCGGGAGTTGTGTCCGCGCGTGTGCGCGCCCACCCGGTGCCAGCCGCGGCCCTCGTACACGTAACCGTCCGAGCCCACCACGAAACTGCAGACGGTAAGAGGAAGGAGCCACCACCCGGCGTAAGGGAAACCCCGACCCTTAAATGGGCCCCTCCCCCAGATTCCGTCCCTGTGCCAGGGGCCTTTCGACCCCAAGTCCCGCGCGGTCGCGCTGCCTCTCTCCTGTCCAGCTCCATCCTTGTACCACACCAGCTGCCACCCCAGAATCCGTCCTGTCTCTTTGGATCCGCCCCTCAGTACTGCCCACGCCCCTTGCTGCCCACCCTCCCCCCTCGCCTTTTCTCAAGTCCAGCTGTTGCCCAATTCAGAACCCTTTTCTATCTTAGGTCATCACTGCCCCACCCCCGATCCATTCCCTACCACACGCCCCGTCCCTCTCCCAGGTCCTACCTCCTGTCCTAGTTCTCTCCCCTGACATAAGAGACCCAGTGTTTAGCTATGTCTGGTCCCTGTGCAGGCCCCACCCCTAGCCTGGGCCACGCCCCCAGCACAAACTCTTCCTCGGTCTTCCGGGCTCTCACTCAAGAGGCGTCCCCTGCCTTAGGCCCCGCCCACTCAGGCTGTACCCATTGTCGTCGGCCCCGCCCCCGGCTCGGCCGGGTCCCACCCACCTGTAGCCGATGTCGTCCCAGCCGCGCGTGTCCTGGTGGAAGCGCTGCATAGAGCGCATGTTGGCTGCGCAGTGCGCGAAGCTCGTGCAGGGTGATGCGGGCAAGTACGTGTGATGCACATACAAGAACCCGAGAGGCAGCTGCAGCGGCGTCGGGCGGCCCCGGTATGGCGCCGCTCCCCAGCGGCAGCGCGGGTGGATGGCCGGGCATCCTGTGGGCAAGCGGGTCCAAGCTTGGGATCAGCAAGCGTTTCTATGCCTGCCGCCTGCACCTCCCATTAAAGCAGATATAGGGGCCATCCCTCCAGCCTCCTCCCAGATTTGGGAAGAGTTCAGTTTCACCCCACACTGGCCCCCGTTGGGATCTAATTTAACTAAATCTAACAGTATCCCAGGCTTCTTGGTATTTCCACTATGTCTCCCATCACCTTCAGGATAAAGCCCAAGAATTTTAGTTTAGACTTCGGGGTCCTTTGTAACACAGGGCCCAGCGCTCTCTCCAGCTGGCCCTGGCCTGAGCCCTGTGAAAGGGCAGCCACACAGAGAAAATAAGAATCTGGGCCCCCATTTACTGAGCTTCAATTGTGTGCTTCATCTTCCTAAACCATCCAGTAAATCCAAGAGGTAGCAATGATTTATTTGGCTTTACTGAAGAACGTGAGGTTCAGAGAAGAGAAGCAACCTGCCTAAAGGTGCACAGGAGTAACTGGTTGAACTTCATGTGAACCTCTGTGCCTTTACATATATGCTGAGCCCACCTAGAATGCCCTCTTCCTCACTTTTTCTTTTTTAAATCAGATGAACTCCTATTCATTCTTCAAGGCCCAACTCTAGCATTTCATCATCTGTGCAGCTATCTCAGTCCCTGGCCAGAGCCCTTATTGTCTCCTCTGGACTCCCCTAGTCCTAAATCCACCAAACCACCTGGGGCTGGCAATGTCTATATCTGTGAGAGGAAGGGTCACAGGAGATGGGGGATGTTCTCACCCAGGAAGGCCTCAGTGAGCTCCTTGGTAGCATAGGTGGCCACCTGGGCCAGCTGTTCTTGGCTCATGCCCTGCAGCTGGAGGTGTGCTGGCTCCAGCCTCTGTAGCAGGAGAAGGGCCCCCCACACCTGCTGGGCCAGGTTAGAGGCTGAAGTCAGAGCAGCCCCATTCTGCCGTCGGAAGTTGCTGCGGAGCCCTGGGTCTCCAGCCACCCCAGCTCCGTAGTACTGGCTTAGCAGGTGGCTGAGGGGAGGCCGAGGCTCAGGGGTCCGGCTCAGATAGTCTCCAAGGAGGGCCCCATCCAGTGCACCATTGAGGAAGGCCATGGTGAGCAGCGATGCCTTGGGGTCCAAGAGTGTGAAGTTCTGGGGGGCTGAAAGCTGGTCCCAGCAGCCCTCCATTCCCAGACCTGGATGGCTCCGGATCTGGGCGCCCTGGAGGAAGGCCAAGCCCAGGTTTCCAGCCAGTGTGACCGCCAGGAGGCTGTCCACAGTAGTTGGGGACTTGGCATCTGGCAAGGAGGCTCGGACATCTGGAGAGCTAGTTCCAGCATCTGGAGAATTGGCTCCAACATCTGCAGAGGTGACATCTGGAGAGGCATCTCTAAGTCCTGGAGAGGTGGCTCTTACATCTGGTGCTGTGGCTGCAACATCTGGAAAGTTGGCTCCAGCATCCAGAAGGGTAGCCGTGCCATCCAGGGGCAAATTTACAACCCTGCGCCCCTGTAGCCCTGCCTCCAGACCTGCCAGGAGAGGCTCCACGGCCACAGTTGAGCCATCAGGTGCCAGCACCACCCCGTATTCCTGCCTGCCCCGTATACCATGTCGGGCCACCTCCTTGGCCAGGCTTTGCAACTCTGGGCTCAGTGCATGGTGATCCATCTCAGCAGCCTTGAGACTCTGCAACTCCAGTAGGAAGTGGTGGAGGGGATCACGGGGGCCAGAGTCCTGGGCTGACAGCATCCATGCAGAGGGGGTGCAGCTGGCCTTGGTCACCGGTGCCTTCTGCTCTAGCTCAGTCAGGGCCTGGATGACGGAGTCCATGAGCAGGGGCAGGGATGCTGCAAGGGGAGAGAATGTGTTAATTCAGCATCCCAGCCCCATTCATTCCTAACCTTCTTGTGCTGATCCCATATCTTTCAATGCTCCCTGCTCTCTCAGATATCAGAGTTATCTCTCTGATAACTCTGTGACCCCCAGCCACTGTCCTTATGTAGATGAGAAAACTGAATCAAACAGACTGTTGCCGATTGGTTAAGGAGCTTGGTCTATCTGTGAGCACTGGAAAGCCATGGCAGGATTATGAGCAGGAGAAAGACATGGCCAGGCAGGCATTCTAAGATTGTTCCTTTGGATGTGCTGTAGTTTGAATGTCCCCTCCAAAACTCATGTTAAAGCTTAATCCCCAATGTTACAGTTTTGAGAGGTGGGGCGTTCAGGAGGTGATTGCATAATAAGAGCTCTGCCCTCATGAATAAATTCATTCATTCACTCCCATAATAGGCTATCATGGGAGTGGGACTGGTGGCTTTATAAGAAGAGGGAGAAAGACCTGAGCTAACACACTCTAGCTCCCTCAACCTTGAACTTCCCATCCTCCAACATTGTAGGAAATTAATTTCTTTTCTTTATAAATTACCCAGTTTCAGCTATTCTGTTATAAGCGATGAAAAATGGCTAAGATAGGCTGCCATGTGGAAACGGACTTTCAGGGTGCTAGAATAGGGAAGGGGAGACAGTGTGGAGGTGAGTGATGAAGGTGGCTGAAGGGAGGTGGTGGTAGGGTCGTGGACAAAAGTGGGAGAGTCCCTAGATGTTGAGTGGGAAAGATGGATAGTTTTTGGTGACGGATTGGCATTGGGGCGTTTTAGAGGGAAAGATGTCTTGAAGGATGCCCAGGGGGAGGAGTAGGATGGACTTGTGCCATGTGGGGGTTATGTCAGTGGCTGAACTAGGAACCTCGAAGTGCTAGGTTTCCTGGCCCAGAGCTGGATTGTTGAATAATCACTAATGTTTCCTATGTGCCAAGCAGTATTCTATTTTTTTTTTTTAAAGATGACCGGTAAGGGGATCTTAACCCTTGACTTGGTGTTGTCAGCACCACGCTCAGCCAGTGAGCAAACCGGCCATCCCTATATGGGATCCGAACCCGTGGCCTTGGTGTTATCAGCACCGCACTCTCCCGAGTGAGCCACAGGACGGCCCGGTATTCTAGGTGACTTATATACCTCATTCAATCTTCACAACAATCCTAGGAGGTAGGTCCTATTAGCCCCTGTCTTAGTCTGTGTGTGCTGCTATAATGGAATACCCAAGACTAGGCAATTTATGAAGAACAGAAATTTATTTCTCACCATTTTGGAGGCTGAGAAGTCCAAGGCCAAGGCACTGGCATCTAGGACTTCCCAGCCTCCAGAATTCTGAGAAAATAAATTTCTGTTCTTTATAAACTACCCAATCTCGGGTATTCTGTTGTAGCAGCACACACGGACTAAGACAGCCCCCCTTTACAGATGAGGCACATGAAGCACAGAGAGGTTAGGTTACCTGCACAAGGCCACACAGCTAAGAAGTGGCAAAGGCAGGATTTATACCTACGAAGTCTTCATCTCCATACTCTGCTGTTGAGAATCCAGGTTCTTCTCCAGACAGTCCATAATGTAATCTCTCTATAGCTTTGCTCTTCTCTCCCCAAAATGCCCTTTCTTGCTTTTCCACCAAACACATTTCTCCCTTTTCCTGTCCTATCTCTATGTCTTCTCCTCCAGGAAGCCTTCCCTACTTTTGCTTCCCAGGCTCCAGCTCCTTCCCCTCATCCCTGCCCTGACTCTATGGGGCTGTAGTGGATTGAATTATGTCCTCCCAAAACTCACTGAAGCTTGAATTGTGTTCACCACGTTTTATGTATTAGAAACTTAGCTCCCACTGTGACTGTTAAGAGGGTGGGGAATCCTATTATGGTAATTGAAAGGTGGAGCCTTG